TCATTAGAGGGACGAGTGTGAGGAGTGAGAGCGGTGGTACGATCAATAGTAGAAACTTTACGAATGGCGCGAAGAAGTTATATTGTTGATTATGCTTGATTTAATCTGCTTTCGACACTGTTAATCATGGCGCTATAATTAACCACCTCTATGAGGAGACTGGCATCAGTGAGTCTTGACTGGTTGATGTCGTACCTGAACAACAGAGGTCAGCGAGTTTCTATAGAAGGAGCAATGTCTAACGCTTTGATTTAAACTTCGGCGTCCTTACGTGCCAATGTTTAGGCCCACTTTTATTCATTATATACGCTTCCAAACTGTTCAAAGTGATTGAAGATCAACTTTCAGAGGCGCACTGTTACGCAGATGAAACGCAGCTGTATCTAAGCTTCAAGCCCAACAGTACTGCATCACAAAGAGAAGCTGTGCGTGCGATGGAGAGTGTCTTGTTAGAAAGACAATAATATAGGTTCCCAGAAAACGAGTGAAACTACAAGTGAATGGCAAAACGATTCTCTTTATTGTCCACTGAACACGTCTCTAAAGGCGCGACAGTCGGGAGGCATACACGGCCTGTCAGTATACTTAACAGAGAGTTGCACTGAGAAGATCAGCTGTTGGATGATCCACTATAATCTTTTTAAAAACGATGAGAAGACTGAATTTATTTTAATTGAAAATTGGAAGCAATTATGTAAACTGCAATCATTGAATATCTCGGTAAGCAATTAAAAATATCAATCCTAGTTCTAATGTTCAAAATATTGGCTGCCGGCTGGACTCGACCCACATTACGAATGTATGCAAAGCTGCTTATTTTTTTCTATCTACACAATATTGGACGATATTAAGAAGTTTTTATCTAAAAACTGTTTACTAATTTAGTACATACGTTTATCACTAGTAGACTAGATTATTGCAATGGCCTTTTATATGGTCTTCCCAAAGAACAAATAGCTAAATTACAAATTGCTGCGGCTAGACTAGTTATGGATACTGAGAAGTATTCTCACATTATGCCTGTGCTATAGGATTTACATTGGCTACCAGTCCAAGCGCGAATAATTTTAAGGTTTTATTGCTAGTTTTTAAAGCTATGGGATGGTTTACTAGCATCAGAGTCTCGAAGAATCTAAAGCAGAAGTAAAAATAAGGTGCAAAATTTCGGTATAGTTTTTGTTTCCATACCCCACATTTTTT